ATAGTGAAAATCATAACTTATTTCTTAACACAGCAAAAACAAAGATAATGCATACAAACAAAACTGCCATGGAGAAGGAAATATATGTTAATGAGGAAAGATTGGAAGTGGTGGAAAATTTCGAATATCTTGGGTCACTGGTTACCAACAATGGTGACACAATGAAAGAAATTAAACGGCGACTATCAATTGCTCTTCAAAGACTAAAACAACTGAATAAATTATGGAATTGTACAGATAGAATTACAAAGGTCAGATTTTTAAGAGCATGCATCTTTCCCATTGCAACATACGCCTGTGAGACCTGGACACTTACTAAACAAGCGGAACAGCGCATAAATGCATTTGAATATAAATGTTACAGACAGGTTCTAAGAATATCTTGGGTAAAGAAAAGAACAAATGCATCCATACTTCAAGAGCTGAATATTGAAGAGGGTTGGCTAGTAAAGACAATAAAACAAAGAAAATTGAAATATTTTGGTCACTTGAAACGTCATGGAGGTCTAGAGAGAACAATAATGGAGGGGTATATGCCTGGGAAGAGAGGAAGAGGAAGGCCAAGGAGAAGATGGGTGCAGGATGTGGCAGATGATCTCCAGATGGGTGTATCAGACGCAGGACATCTTGCTCATGATAGGAAGGTTTTCCGGAGGGTTGTTATGGCAGCGAGGTTCCGCGAGGGACATGCTACTGAATGAATGAATGAATTTCCTATTCTGTGCATGGGGTTGTTATTCATGCGTTTAAATTTTTCTGTTAGGTTAAGCATCTTTTCCCCCCTTCAATGGCTCAAGCTCTGGAGGCCAGAAGTTGCCTCCAGCTCATTGATTGACGTGCTTCTCATAACTCCAGCGATGATTCCGAGATTGTTGTATTGTGTCCAGTTTGTATAAGTTTAATTTGGCTGCAGTGAAGTATGTTGCCATGCCATTCTCGTTTTTGTCGAACGTATCCTGTCTATACTTTTTCGTACAATGTTGGCATCTGCACCCCAGCTTGTTTCAGTAAGTTTCTTCATAATTGTCTTTAGTGTGGGTGCCCCAGGTTAGTCTTTTGTCGAATTTTACTCCCACATATCAGGGGTTTTCCTTTTTGTGGAAGGATGTTGCTTCTAGATACAGATCGACTTGTTCTACCTTTGGGAAAAGAGAGAAAGAGTCGAGACGGTTTTGGTCTGGTTTACTGTGACTCCCGAAGAGTCTGTCAATTTCTTAACTGTATTTATAGCTTCCTGCATTCTTGTTTTCGTTGTTTCTATATCTTCAGCTTGGGTTCATTTGACCAGTTCATCTGCATGTAGAACCTTGTGAATGTGAGTCGTGTAATGTTTTGGGAGGTCATTGATGAAAAGAATAAACAGGGTAAGAAACATAACACCCCTCTGGTGGACACCTTCTTGTAGCCTGATCAGCGTCCTCTTGTGTTCTTCCAGTCTGACTCTTGTGCAGAGTCTGTAAAGAAAATCTATAATCCAGGCAAACATATGCCCTTTTCCCCCCCACTGTGTGCTAATTTTCTAATTGTAGCAAGAGTGCTTTCTTTCAGACCTTATAAAAGGCTTTCGTCAGGTCGAAAAAAAGCAGTTTTGTTTCTGCAAAGCACCTTTAATTTCCTGTGTGAGATAAGAGGTTTGGTCATCAGTGGTTCTGTATTTCCTGAAGCCTGATTGGCTGTCATTTAATATCTTGTTTTCTTCCAGCAAATGCAGCTGTTGTTCACTAATCTTTCCATGATCTTTCCAAGACAGATTAGGAGGTTTATGGGACGGTAACTGGATTTGTTTTCCTTGGGCTTTCCTTTCTTGGCTATGGGGACTATTTCTACCTCCTTTTATTCCTTTGGATGCAGTCCCTAGGTCCAGGATTGATTGATACGGTCAAAGAGTCGTTGCTACCAGCTGGTCCCGAGTGCACTGTCGTTTCATGTGAAAAGTAAAACACTACAAACTTGTTTTCCTTTATGATTGCATGACAGTCCTCCAGGGGACTCAGAGGGATCCACGAGACAACATGGAGAGAGAAATGACACGCCAGCTAAACAGACTCAGAAAACAATCAAATTCTTTTCCTGTGGATACCGGCTCACTGTGGCATACCAGGAAATGAGTTAGCAGACAGACTTGCAAACAATAGAATAAAGGAAAAACAACACACCGCTTCTTGTTGTCATTACCAGAAATCATAAGACTCATCAAGGGGAAAATGCAAGTAATTGTGGAGAGAACAGAACAACAGTAAACATCCACAAGACCTTATCAGCAGACTTAAAAGAAAGAAACATACAACAATTTTCCATCTTCGAACTGCAGGCTCAACTACCGCCTACATAAAATAAAGACTGTACAGCCCCCACTGTTTGCATGTCAGACGGACTACAGACACCTAAGCACATTCTGCAGACCTGTCACTCTACCTTCAACTTCGAAAAGACACCTGGCCTCAAGAGCAAAGTGCGCAGAGCCAGCTACGGGGAACCATGAAGGACCTGCTGCTGACATTCGAATTCATAGAGGCAACCCACCTGATAGTCTCATCTGAGCCGACGAAACTGAATGCGAAGAACAGGAAGAAGTGCTAGCGTTTACAGGTGTAAAAAAAAATGAACAGGCTGATAGATTTGCAGGTGAGACTGCTATGGAAGGCGGAAAAGCAACGGACCAGGCTGACAAACTGAATTCTCTAAGAGAAGTAAAACGTTTGCGACAGCCATGTGATGAATGCGAATCTGCAACCATTACCAAGCTGCAGAAACAGCAAGGTAAAAGGAGTGTGACCAGACATAACACTATACACAGGGCCAATAAATTATAACAAACCAATACAGAATTGGTGTCATCAGCCGCTACATTTTCTAAGGAGGTGATCCGATCATTTATGGACGGAATGGGTCTGTGTGCAATGGGGATGATCAGTCGACTAACTAGCTAGCTTCTTCTTCTTCTTCGCCTCCTCTGGTAACAGTTCGGGTGTCCCTCTTCTGGTCGTCTTGACCATAGACACATCGTGCTATTGTAGAGTTTCTCTGATATTATTCTTGGTCCACCTTGTTCGCTGAGTCCACCTCCTCTTTTATTGTATGTCTATTATGTAATGACGTGGCAAGGCACTGTCTTTAAATGAGCAAGCTATTTAATGTGATGTATTTATATGTAATTCAAAATTGGTTCTAAGCAGACATTTTCTCTTATGAATTCATGGTACATGTTGTGATAAGAGACCCATCAACGAGAGTGGCTTCTCTTCCCATTGATGCCTCCATCTGGTGAAGTGCCTCGATTATGTCGCAGGCGTTTCAGGTGTAGTGAGTTATATTTCACTCCGTGTTGTCAGCGGCGGGCGTTGTCGCGTCTTCTATGCTGTGAACTTTTAACGGTCACAAAACATGTTCAAGTGGGCTATTTCTCACGACTGTATGCAGCCTCTATTATACGCTGCACACAGTCAAGCGATCAATGAATGGGAAGGGAGGTCACTCTCATTCTTGGGTCCCTCTTGCAGGCCTCAGACATCTCATTTCTATGGCTGCTAATTTTCTTTTCTGATTGTGTCGTGAGTGACCATGTCTGACACTTGTAGCATAGAGTGGTAATGAATATGTTTTGTATGAGATGTCTAGTTTGAGAATGGAGGTGGAGGCAGTAACTGCGGCCTTCTGCTGGCTTGAGAATCAGCTGTTCACACATGTCGTGACAGGCATGCCCCGTACAGAGTGGCAAGCATCACTTCAAAAGTCCCAGGTAGTTAGCATCCTTTGAATATTTTCTCCAGGGTATGCTGATGTGTTGGGAAATGAGCAGGCAGATCGACTGGCGGGTTCTGCACCACTTGGTGGTGAACTGATGTTGTAAGGGCCATTTGAGAACGAGTTAACAATGCCGAGGCACAGACAGATCATTATGGTCTGAGGAGAATGGCGCTGTAAGGAGTTACAAGGAGATCTGGTCGATGCTAAAGGGAAAAGCTAGATGGGTATACAATCAGAGGTTACTAGTACCATCAGAATTTTAACTCTTGGCTTGTTGCTGAAGATGGGGACGGAGCACTTATGGAATATACGAGTACTGTGATGTACATTCTTAAATCAACATTGTATGAGATGTTTCTTTGTGCTGATCGGGATTGTCTGAATACTGTGTGTGTGGGGGTGGGGGAAGTGGGGGAGAGCTAGTGTCCCAAAACATGGTTTGCTTTACTGCTTCTGATGTTAATTTCTTCTTATATTTCCCAACCTTCAGTAAATGTTCTACCCAGATCTTTAAACTCAAATGTTTGAACTAACTTTCCTTAATAAGAAAGTAAATGTTTTCTATAAAATATGTTTCTATGTGATTGTCCAGAAAACTGAACTATATCAATGTTGACTGTTGAATTAAAAATGGAGATCATAGCACTCCGTCTCCATATTCAGCAGCAAGAGAAGAGTTCCAGTTCTGATGGCACGAGTAATTGTTTGTATATTCGTCTCACCTGTTCACTAAAAATGAGCGCCAGCCAGATTCCCCTGGTAACTCCTCACAGCGCCATTCTCCTCAGATCTTAATGATCTATCTGTGCTTCCACACTGTTCACTCGCTCCCAGACAGCCCTCACAACATCTGTTTTGTCATAAATTTGGAGTTAAAAATCTACAGAGTACTTCTGGAGCATTTACTGTTCTACAGAGTTCATGCACTGCACTGAGATTCTTGGGACTCAGGCTTAAGTTAGAAGTAGAATGGAGCACTTCTAGGTTACTACCCTTGTGTCATGATGTTGATCCGTTGTTGAAACATTCAAATATCAGATCATCACCACCTGGTGCAGAATCAGCCTGTCTGTCTGGTTGCTCATTTCTTAACACACTGGCATCACCTAGAGAAAATATCCAGAGGATGCTAGGTATAAACTATACAAACAGCAGTTAATGTCTTTTATTCTGAAAGAGCAAATAACTTATCTTAAAAATATCTTTCTATATGATGATAATATGTTTATATATGTTTCTGTGTGGTTTTACAGAAAATTGAATCATATAAGCAGCATATAATATTGCTGATCTTACTGGATTTCATCTTCATTCTGTCTGGAGTCGTCTCCTACATTCTGCTGGATGAGCATGGAGCCACACTATATTTGATTCACACAAAATGCATTTTTTCTTTCTACCTTATTTCCCTCACACACAAGGGACTGCGATTGGCTGTTCAAAAACACATTGTTTATTACTGCTTTAGGACATGCAAGACCAAACGTGAAGTACACCACAGGCATTCTGAGGCAACTTGAGGGTATAAATGGGTTTGTTTTGAGTTGTTGTTAGTGTATGGAAGGTGTGAATGCAGCTACATAAACCTCATACTGGAACAGCATGAGTAAGGCTGCGTGAATTTGGAATTATGAGTGGATCCAGTAAGAAAGAATGTACGAGGGAAAGAGGATGGTGTGTGTACATTTTGTGTGCTGTAACAGTCACAGACTAAAAACATTTGTTGCAGGAGACAGATATTGTACAAGTATTCCTGGTATGCTATGACGTTGATTCTTAAATCAGTAATGCCCTGAATGGGTTTTAGAGCACTGTTATAGGGAAAACAAGAATAGACCCACTGCCTACCTGAAAGCATGTTGTAAGATTCGACTAATGGGGAGCTTTCTTTGAAGTTGAAGTGCATCTGCCGAACAGACAAGAAACTAACAGCCTGCATACAAATGAGTTGGTTCTGTGAAAGGGATGCACATACAACACTAAGGTTCTGGGACCGGACTTCAGCCTATTAGTGGAAAACAAACAGAACCTGAGTTTACGGCTGGTGTACACACAGAAGAAGAAGAAGAAGAAGAAGAAGAAATCAGTAATCAGACATACCCTAGCTTAAAGTCAATTGCATGCGATCTGGTAGCAGACTGTTAGCATTGACTCTGACAATGATATAAGCACTGCACTGTTCAGGAAGCATTGGTTAACTACTGAATACAAAACTGTGTAGTAAAGACAGACAACAGTTGCTAGTGTTTGTTTGCGGCAGGCAACTTTCTGGGTTGTAACTCAAGTGAACAAGGAGGTTGAAACTTCTTGAAATTGTCAGAATAAATGTTTGTAGTCACAGTTTATCACTTGAATAAATTGAACGTCCCAAAATAAAACAAATAAATAAAAGTTTTAGTGTGGATTTTTTGGGGGTTCAGATTATGAAAATTGTCAATAACAATGTGTGTTTTTCATGTTATGACTGCAATTGTGTGGACTAGGCATACTGTTCCCAGAGGGACATGCCATGTGAAATGTCTTAATTCTCTTTTCAGAGATTGCACGGACTAGAGGTTGCATGGTAGAGTGGTTAGGCAGTTTGTCTTGTGCACTTATGATATATGCTTTCAGTTTCAAACTCTTAGTTCAGGACTGCATGATGACGCTCTCAGTGGGTGATCAGCTACTTTGCATAGACTGTCTAAGTAAAGTGTAACCTTCTTCTTCTTCTTCTTCTTCTCCTCCTATCATGCAAATGCACACAGACTTCGAAGGAAACATCACTAATTAGTTGACTCTCACAACCTGCTTGTTATGGGGCAATGCAGAAGTTCTGGAAAGGCTAAAAATGAAAAGAGAATACTGACAGAAATAAAAACAAGACAACTGAAATACTTTGGCTATATTAAAATACATAATACATTAATCAATCAATCAATCACATTTTTAAAAACCATACTGGAGGGAGAGGTTGGAGGCAAGAGAGTAAGAGGTAGGCAACGATACAAGTGGAAGGACAACATCAAGAGATGGACAGGCAGCAGTCTGAGAGAGAGTACAACCAGGACAAGAGACAGAGAGTGTTGGAGATGTACTGCAGCAGACCATCACTGTGGAGATGGCACCTGATTGACTAATTTATTGGTTGCTAAGGGGGCAGTGGCCCCACCCCCCATCATTCTCAATGGGGCCCCGGATCCCACCTAGAGCGCTGTCAAACAATATTGACATCAGTGTGTATCTTCACTTGTCAGTCTAAAATAGAGCTAACTCATTAAGTACAAAGCAATTCACTATTAGTTTATTTTGGTTTCTGCTTCAAGCACAGGGTGAATCGGAAACACAGCTGCATGTTTTACTGTATTTATTTCATCATATGAAAAGAAATAGGTTCCCAGTTGGGAACAATTTTTCTTTAGAAGTAAAAGTGCGTATGCCCTAGGTAAGGACCAACAGTCTGCACACAAATAAGCTAGATGTCAAACAGATGCGCATGTTCTGGAACAACATTAAAATCTAGAAGTGAAACAACCAGAACTTTCTGCAGCAGTTTACAGCTGGTGAATGCAAAGAAGAAGAGCCATACAACAGTATCATACAATACCAAGTCACTTAAACTGACTCAAATTGTTCGCTGTTACATGGAGTAGCAGATACAACATTTATTTTTTAAAGTACAGCCCTGTTTCTCGTTTATCAAGTACAGACCTTTTTCAATGTACGGTATCCCTCTTGTTAGATCAATCAATGCTGTCCCAGTTGTTAAGCTAACCCACTCCACCGCAGTTGTTCCTGTAACCTACTGTCTCAGATGTTACAGTAACCCAAACTGTCCACACGGTTACACTAGCCCAAACTGCCACATTTGTTACATCACCTTGATCTGTCCCAAAACATTACACTCATCCACTGTGCCATAAATGTTAAGAGTAATCCATGATGACCCCCAACTGTTAAAGTAACCCTCTTTGTCCCCAACTTTTACAGTAACCCACATTGTCCTAACTGTTACAGTAACCCACATTGTCCCAACTGTTACAGTAACCTACATTGTCCCAACTGTTACAGTAACCCACGTTGTCCCAACTGTTACAGTAACCCACGTTGTCCCAGCTGTTAAAGTAACCCACATTGTCCCAACTGTTACAGTAACCCACATTGTCCCAACTGTTACAGTAACCCACATTGTCCCAACTGTTACAGTAACCCACATTGTCCCAACTGTTACAGTAACCCACATTGTCCCAACTGTTACAGTAACTCACGTTGTCCCAGCTGTTACAGTAACCCACATTGTCCCAACTGTTACAGTAACCCACGTTGTCCCAGCTGTTAAGTAACCCATGTTGTCCCAACTGTTAGAGTAACCCACTCTACCCTCTGAAATATATGCCTGCTCTACTTCAGTTTCAACGTCAAACCAATCACTTAAACCATCATCTGTTTGCACTGCACACCCTGAGCCTTTATACAATGTTGTCACAATGTTTATTATTATAACTGAATAACGACTTTTAACCACAGAATGATTTTAAGTAACACCTGCATGAAACTGAAAGAGTTAAAATAACGTGCACAACAAATTACTAATACAGTAAGTAAAACTAAAAAAAGTAAAGGACTCTTTTCCATGCCTTTAGGCGTATAGGGCATGTAGGGCTAGACCTCTATTTTATAGACCAATCGGCACTTGATGGGTGATGTAATCAGCATCACACAGGCCACCTTTACTTCCTGGGACTGCACCCAGTATCCACTTTAGGCTGGGTCGACGTGGAGGCCAAAGTCATTTTGGAAAAAAAGTCTGGCTCCTCCAGGAAGTGAACCCACAACCTTCTGATCCATGGCGAGCATCTAGCTGCTCTGACATGGCAATTTCCTACTGAGTCCCAGAGGGTTTAGCATCACAGGCCCAGGGGGTAGTAAAATCGGCGCATTGTGCGTTCACTGGGCTTCTAGGTAAGAACATGTGAATATATGATGCCTTCCTTGGAACTCAATAAACAGACGGCAAGAAAACAGTGAAGAACTTGCTGTGAGGCATTTAAAGTATATGGCGTAAACTCCGTATTTGTATCTATACCACTCACCAGTTGATGAGTAAGCTTTTAGGTTTGGGTTTAAACAACGGATCAACATCATGGCACAAGGGTAGTAACCCAGAAGTGCTCCGTTTTACTTCTGACTCAAGCCTGAGTCTGAAGAATCTCAGCGCAGTGCACAAACTTCATAGCCCCGGCAAGGATCCTGAAATACTTTGGGTATTTGTTAACTCCAAATTTTTTTCCCGGGCAGTGCGGTTAGGCTACTCTTTTCGATTTCCAACTGTCAAGGTATATTTTACATGTGCAATCATACACATGAACGTCCGATCTTACTACCCAGAGACCAGTGGAAATTACTAGAAGTCCACGTGAAAAAAATCCCAGCCTTCACCGGGGCTTAAACCCGGGATCTCCAGCACTCGAGGCGGATGCTATGCCTCGAGACCACACAGCTCCCCTGATGATAATGAGTAAGCTGGCAGGTCAGTATTATGCAAACTGCCTTTACTTTCAAGAATGTTTCATAGTTTTTTCAAATTCTTATTAAAAAATATGGTGCTTGCATCATAAGCTCAATGCAGGTTAAGAAGTGGAGAAAAGATATAGGTTAAGAAGTGGAAAAGTTAAAAAACTAAATGTCATCATAAACTATACCTATATTCTTCTTCTTCTTCTCTAGCAGTGTTCTGCCTTTCAACATCTGACCATTAACAAGCATCAGGTGAAAGCCTGGGTATGTGCTACATCGATGCTCGTATTCACGGCCTCGGATATTCCATCTATCCATTGCTTGCTAGGGTCGACCTCTGGCTCTGCTTCCATTATGTCCAAGTGAGAAGGCCGTCTGTGCTGCATTGTCTGGTGGTAGTCTTGACATATGTCCAAACCATTTGATCGGTTGTCTCCTGATGTAGTTTAATACTCGTTCTATCTCAACTTTTGTCCTTATATTGTCATTTCCTGTCTCTTCTAATCATGAACTATAACAGCAGCATTAAAAGACTGGATCAATGAAGTGAATGAAGACAGAACCTATTTACATAAAAACATTATAAATAATACAAGAATACTTAACAAACAGTAATACAGTGTTATAAATAACTGTAACATAATAAATAATGCGGAATGAAAGTGTCTAAAATAAATTATGCGTACATACAAGGTAGTTTTCAAAATGTTCACAGGCTGTACCATCATGGTATCAACACCCGCTGTTATATTTTTAGGCTGCAAATTACACAAGATAACAGTGATCTAGGTTGCCATGGTAGCGTAGTGGCTAGACACCTGCCTGCTGGCCTGAAGGTCTTTGGTTAAACCCACATCGAATAAGACTGTTTTCATAACTGATCTTGGCTTTCATGTCGATTCAGTACCAGGCATTATTAACGATGGATAAAAACAGCTGTGACCCCCCCCCCCCCCCCCCCCCCCCCCCCCCATTAGCATATGGTTTTAGCCAAAACTTTTGTCTAAAGTCTAGAGACAGACTC